CGACATTCGATGTCACCAACCTGAAATAACTTTTTTACCGCTCTGTATGCCTTAACTTCTCACTCAAGACCTAAAACTTCTAACTCAAGATCCACACATATGCATACAGTGCGAGCCGAAGGACATAGAGTCCGCATCCAAACTTCAATTTTCTGTCCGGAGCTAAATTCAGCTTGCTGTCGTAATCCTGCACAGCCGACCATGAGTCTAAAATTTTGGCTGCATAAAATCACTACTACGTGCTCTGATCTGTGACCATACCTTGTGCCTCATATAGCATTGCGACGCGCCAAGTGTAGAAGTTGGGGCCAGTTGACATGACGCAAAACGCAATCTTTGAATGTGCAGTTGCATATTTCTGTGCATTCTGCGTCTCCATCGACTCCCTCTTATTATATGTCCTTCATTTTCTCCTAGAGTGTATGGTCGCAAATCAGAGCATGCAGCTTCCCTATTTAATTGCCATGTCCAAACACAGGTTGGCCAGCTTTTCAACTTTCTTAATAGCCTTAAAGTCACTAAAATCCCATCTTGGTCAACGAGTAGCAGCCTCCGCTACCGCTTTTTAGGAAGGATATCATACAGTCACATACGGATTTATGTCCTTCAGCAAACAGCTGAGGAGGAACACAGAACAGACTCAGGGCACGGAAAATATCGGGTTGTGTACTTGAGCTGATTCATGAGTTGCGACGAGCCCGACTAATGGCGGCTATCTAGCGATTAAATGAGAAGTGATTGTTAGCAAACTTTGTCTGGCAGTTATGACCGTTATTAGTTCACAGAAGTGCACGAGAGCCTAGAAGAAAAATTAAATGAAGTCCCGATCATTTTCTGTCCTTTTTATAGGCGCTAAAAACATTTAAATGCCTTGCAAGCATTTGTCATACCAAATAGGCGCGTTTGGAAATACAGCCCTGACGTGATGCTGAAGATTTTGGTCTGTCCATTTGAAGGACATACGAGATGTATCCCACCAGTCGGAAAGGTATCACAGCGTGGTTCGGCAGTCGCAGCACGCAAAACGAGTGGTGGTACTCAACACATACACCAATGATTTGTGTATTAAAGCTGCTAAAATCTTGCCAGAATGCTTCTGTCAGAAGAGCATTGAGCTGGTATTCCCCTTATAAGATGATAGGAATGCTAGAATCGCCATCAAGATGACAATAAGACAGTGCAGCATTGGCCAGAGCAACTGGAAAAGCTGCAGTTGTAAGCTACACCACTGAAGAACGACGCTACTGCAGCGATCAAAGTGTCGCGGTATGGCAGGACAGGACAGGTTTTCTCATGAGACAGCACATTATACGGTACATATATGTATTTTAAAGTACTAGGTGGTGAATTAGATGCTGTCTTATTTACGATTTACAAGCCACAGTTACAGAGACAAGCATTTCTCGTAAGTGGAACCATCTATATCCTCGCTAGATCCCGATCTCTCTATGTGTATCGTCTCATTTTTAACAAACTTTGACATTTTGCGGAATCGAGTCGAAAATTTAGGACTCGAAAAATACCAACTTTATCCATTCCAAACTCGATTATTTGTTACTGGGAATTCAAACTCATCCATAAATTTGCACTAACATTACACACAGACCGTCCGCGAAAAGGTCTAGCATTAATTATGCGTTTTTTGCAGCAATGCAATGCGAAAAACCCATATTGACGAGAGGTTGTCTATGTGTGTGTGTGTGTGTGTCTGTGTGTGCGCTGCGCGTCTGTACCGATTTTTCATCTCGAGACCGGCAAAAAACGGGGTAGAAACTTTGGGGACTTAATCTGAGCACGTTCGAGCCCCCATCCCCAAAATTGGCGCCAAAACCCGCGTGGTACCCGCGTACGGGCCCCCACCTACGGGCCCCTATCCCCAAAATGGGCGGTCTTTCCCGCGTGGTACCCACGTAAGACCCCGCCAAA